ATAATGGTGTAAGACAAGTTGAAGCCAACTCGTGTTAAATCAAAATTTTTAAAACTATCAAATTGAACTTAATTTGAAATTTTCAATGTCATTCATGATTTAATTTTGAAAATTGGATGACATGCAAGTAGGATGAAATTTGAATCAAAATCGACTTCAATTGACGTTTGATTTTGAGGAAGATAACACGGATAGAAATTCGAGTTGAAATTCAATTTAATTAAAGTTTGAATCTCAAGTAATGCAACTAGGGCATAAATTTGATTTCAATTTGGATTGGATCCTAAAAGGTGGAGACATAAATTCAGTGCTGTTTGAATTTAAATTGAGTTGATAATTTTATATTCAAACTTTGCTCAATATTGAATTTTTTTGGGTTGGCCTACGTTGGATATCAAATTGACCCATCAAGTTTCACTTTTATCCAAAGTTTCACCTTTCATGAACCATCATCAAATCCAAGAGAGTGTGACTCAAATTATGTTGGTTCGTGTTCAGGTTATGTTATATCACATTCGTGTCAAGTAGTAGACAACATAACTCAACCAATTTAATTAATCTTGTCAAATATTTAAATACTAATTAGACCACCCATGAATTAATTGTGTCAAGTATTTGAATTCTAATGGGCAAAAAATAAAATTCAAAAACGAATTTATAGACTAATTTAAAAAGCAAATTTTATACAAAAATATAAAATTAGATCTGACCCATAAACTTACCCCTGGCCGGGCCAAGTCAGGGCTGGCGACAGCAGCACGCAGATGTATGTATGGTTAAATTCAAGTCTATCTAAATCATCTCTTATCCACAAAATTACTGTAGTGTTCCAAATTTGCACGACTTATATCAGAGGCTGCGTAGTGTTGCCATGAATCTTGTGGGGGCATCTCTATACATGGTCGTGGTAACCACCAACACATTGGACATGTTATTAATTTTCATCGAAATCGATGCACGTGGCTGACATAGCTGCAAAAGCTGTCAACAGGGCTGAGAAGAATTAAATAATCAATCATTTTTGAATGTGATTATCCTCCTTCCAAGACGATAACTTTTTTTTTTTTTTTCTTTTGGGCCGGGGATTCATGATCCCATCATCAAAATTACTATAGTCTTCCAAAATTGCACGACTTATATCAGAGGCTGCGTAGTGTTGCCATGAATCTTGTGGGGCATCTCTATACATGGTCGTGGTAACCACCAACACATTGGACATGCTATTAATTTTCATCAAAATCGATGCACATGGCTGACATAGCTGCAAAAGCTGTCAACAGGGCTGAGAATGATTAATTAATCAATCATTTTTGAACGTGATTATCCTCCTTCCAAGATGATAACTTTTTTTTTTTTTTTTTGTTTTTTTTGGGCCGGGGATTCATGATCCCATCATCAAAATTTTAATATCGATCTCAACATTCTATAATTAATCTTATTTTTTAAAATTAAAATTTACATCTCAAAAAATTGTAATTTACTTAAAAAATTGTAAATTTCGGTGTTGATATCGCCTTGTGTTATGAATTCATGGATAGAACTTGTCCCTAAAAACTAAAGGAAGGGTGCTAAAGAATGTATATACACATATTTAGTTTTATTTTTAACTGATGTGGGATTGTAACATTTCACCATGCTTCTGTATTTGACGTTCACGGTACTCATACATAATACCAAATCATCTTAATTCAAACTATAGATCGCCCCTACCATGACTCAACAACAGAGAGCCGCAATTCAATTGCGTCTGATTCTATACTTGACATGGTGACTAACTCTGATACTAATTGTTATAAACTCATGCATAAAACTTGCCCCTGAAAATCGGCTTGCATGAGAAGAATGTCTAAGAGTTCATATACACATATCCAATCTTATTTTTAAACCGATGTAAAATTGTAACACCCCTATTTTTCAGATTCCCACTTCTCATTGGATTTGTATGCATTGAAACTATTGTGCTATTTTCTCGGTGACTTTTTGAATGGTATTTTTGGGTAATTAACTTTTATCCTTGTAATTTTAGCTAGAAAAATCTTACCTACTTGACTTTTTAAATTATGCACATAACTCCCTTATGATTCTGTACCAAAGTAAAACCCTTACATAATTCTGAACATAAAATCTTAAAGGCTTCTTCCTCCATAATCTTCTTCGTCCTCTTGCCGAAGTGCCACTCGCATGAAGGCATTATCTAAGAAAAACACCATGCTTCAAGTTACCGCGTTACTGTTTAATTCGATCCATTTCTTTAGATTCTGTTGGTAAGTAGTCTAAGTCATAAAAAATGGTAGAAATGTACTTATAATTGACGAAATTATATTAAATGCCTATTACAGAATTTTTTTTTTTTTTGGTACCTATATTGTCGATTACCATTTTTTAAAGAAAAGTTACAACTTTGAAAAAAGAGGTTATAACAACTCAAGAGAATGTCGTGATTAATCATAGACATCTATGATTGATCATGAAATCTCAGTATCGATTTTAACTTTTCATGATCAATCTTATTTTTTAAAATTGTAATTTATACCTTAAAAAAGTTATAACTTGACTTAAAAAATTATAAATTTCGATATCGGTACTACCGCGTGTTATGAACCCATAGATAGAACTTGCACCTAAAAATCGACTTGCAAGGGAAGGGTGCTCAAGTATTCATATACACACATCTAGTCTTATTTTTAATTGATGTGAGATTGTAACATTCTACCATGCTTCCATTGTTGACATCCACGGACGGTGCCCATACATAATACCAAGTCATCTTAATCCAACCTATAGATCGCCCCTTCCATTACTCATCGATAGAGAGCCGTAGCTTAAACTACATTCAATCCCATACTCAACATCGTGGCTAGCTTTGATACCAATTATTATGAACTCATGTAAAGAACTTGTCCCTGAAAACTGGCTTGTAAGGGAGGGATACTCACGAGTTCATATATAAACATCTAATCTTATTTTTAATCAATGTGAAATTATAACACCGCAGTACCATATCCTTTCCCTATTTTTAGATTCCCACTTCTCATTGAATTTGTATGCATTGAAACTGTAATGCTCTTTTTTCGGTAACTTTTTGAATGATTTTTTTAGGGTAATTATCATATTCCCTGTAGTTTTGGTCAGAAATATCTTACTTCCTTGACATTTCAAATTAGTCATATAACCCTTTTACCGTTCTATACCAAAGTGAAACTGTTATATAATTCCAAACATAATAATCTTAAAGGCTTCTTCCTCCATAATCTTCTTTGTCGTCTTGTCGAAGTGCCACTCGCATGAAGGTATTATTTATGATAATCACCATACTTAAAGTTACTGCGTTACTATTTAATTCGATTACTCTTTTTGGATTCTATTGGTGAGCGGTCTAAGTCATCAAAAACTTGTAGAAATGTACTTGTAATTGATGAAATTATATTAAATGCCTGTTATGTTATTATGTCCCCCCTTTTTTTTTGAATAGACTATTGAGAGACTTGATAAATAGTGAAATACAATAATTAGACAAACCATATGCATCAATGCATTTGTGGGGTTGAGCAATGAATAACATAATGATGATAAATACAAGATATGATAAATGTGGGCTTGGATGGCACACAAGGACAAAGCAAGAAATTTGGTTACGAGTAGACACTTTAACTACAATTTTTTTTTTTAATGATCAGAATAATATGATACATTTATATTTGTCTCATGATATTTGATATCTAAAAATATATTGATTACAAAAATGACAAAAGTCGACATACATAACATATACAAACAACAAATAAAAAACTCCGACGAATTTTCATATTTTTAAATGCATTACATAACAATTTCATATTCAATACAACAAAAAATGTAATTCTCTCTATATATACAGTCAAGCTTTGAGTAATTCATTGATCCATTTTATCTCCATGAACGCATACTTACATGTAGCAGTAGCTATGCACTCTTTTGCTTTTATTAGGTTTATTTGCAAATAATGTATCATCACAGGCTTTAAATCCCCAACCTAAAACAAGAAAACATGCATTAAAAGTTGTATAGCGACGTTTGCTTTCCAATTTACATTCGTTGGATGGTGTTTAGATTCATACAATTATTAATACTATCAATTATAACTTCCATACTTCAAGACATTGAAATACCAGATATTTATCGTGTATTGCGTTCATGTGACACAGGGGCGGTCCGACACAAAACAAGGCTTAAAGTGAAAATTTTAACATAAATTTTTAAAATTTAAATCATTATGCAATATTATTTATATTATTGCTTTTTGGGATGCAAAAATTTTTATTAGATTTTTGTATTCAAGTATTGTTAATATATTTTTTTTCCAATCGATAGTATAGTTAATTCGAACAAAGTGGTATACCTAATATAATGGTATGACATAATTTTATTAGATTTAATCTTAGAACAATAAATGAAAAGAAAAAATAATATAAATAATAAAACTTAAGCTAAATATTAGAGACTTAAATGGTGTTTTGTATTACAATTAACAATATAAATAAATTCTCAATAAACTCAAATCAAATCTAAAGAACTCAAACTTATAAAAAAAATGTTTATTCCAATCAAAATATTATTGAATTTTACAAAAATCAACAAATAAAATAATTTTCAAGCTACCCAAAGTAGTTGGGAATAGTATATTAAAAAATATTATATCATTAAATAACTTTTAATAATACAACAACCTTCCTAAAATGCAAATTAATTATTTAGACATCTTTTTCTACAATATCTTGTAAGATATTTGTCATTCTTAGCCCTGCACTAGTCATAATATACACAACTTTGATATTGTAAATTGCAGAAACCATTAGGGGCACTTTCGTAATTGAATCCAATGGCATCAAACATGTTTAGACCAAGTGGATCCTTTGTTTCACGATGCAACTACTTTGAGGTTGTATATATAGATGTTGTCCTCCAACTTACACTCATGGAAGATTGTGTAGACTTGAACTACTAGTAGCTAAAGAAGAGGAATGGCTCTGCAAGCTCTCTTCTCACCTTTCCTTGTCTCTACAACCCTCCTCTTCCCTCTTCATTCATCAAAAATTCCTGTTACCCTTCGTAACTCTAAATCTACTCGTTGTGTTGCAAATGTTATAACTGTTGATGATCACACAATTACTAGACGATCAGCAAATTACCTGCAAAGTGTCTGGGACTATGATTTTGTTCAATCACTTACTAGTGATTACAACGTATCTTGAAAACACACATTTTGCTATTTATTTTAACCTCGATTGAAAATTTTGGCTTTATTGAAGTTTATTATTTACTTATATCTATTACTGACCTGCAGGAAGAGAAATATGTGAGACAAGTTGATAAGCTAAAAGATGACGTAAAGTGCCTCATTAATGGGGTGATGGACCCGTTGGCTAAGCTTGAGTTGATCGACGTTATTCAAAGACTGGGATTAAAGTATCTATTTGAGACCGAGATCAAAAAAGCACTAGATATCATATATAAAGATAGTAATATTGCATGGTTAAGTGATGATCTATTTGCAATAGCCCTCCGATTTAGGCTCCTGAGACAACATGGTTATAATGTACCCCAAGGTAAATATTTAACAGTTTATTAACTTATATTACCTAATATAACCAAAAAGATAAAGAAATAAAAATTAATACCTATTATCTTCACATATTTTACTCTATTTGTCTCAATCACGCAATTAATTAGATCTACTAAAGCAAGCCTGTTTATTTTTTTATGTGTCTTATTTGTTTTTGGTATTTTTTCCGCATCTACGCCATCGTACGTATGAATGTTTGTGTTCTTTTAATCAATGTTTGAATACATCAGATTAGCCCATCCTACAATATCCTAAATATAGAAGTTGCATAAAACAGTGAAAAACAAAACCTTTGATTTGTAATCGCTGAGATGGCAAAATAAGGTAAAATAGATTCATCTAAGAGGAGTGATCTTATGTCGCTGCTACATCCAAATAAAGGATGAGTGGATTTGCGGCAGTGTGTAGTATGAAAGATGAGTGGATCAAAGCGTCCTATTTTAAATATTTTTTTAGCAAGAGATGTTTGAACATTTGGATAGTAAGATCAATTCCATAAAAATAGAAAAAAGAGTTCGTGTACACAAATGTTTCCAAAGGGATGGATGATTTTTGAAACAAGAGAATAGAAGATCCTCCACTTTCCAAAAGGATAAAAAGGAATAAGTGTCAAGATCAAGCATATCTAGACTTCAACTATAAAAGTTAATGAAGTGCTAGCATGCAATGAAATTGAAGAAGTCATCACCTATTGATTGACACTTTCAATTCCAGTCACAATTCCTTGTGCCTCAGATTTCTCATCTAGCTATCACAATTATACTGCTTGGTAAAACAATGTTCCCTTCCCTGAGTGATTGTAGTTGCTAACTATAAAGAGCCAGATAGAAATCATCATGATTTATGGCATATAGGTTAGCTATACAAAAGAAATAATTAAGTTGGGTTAAGAAATAATGTTTTCTATAACTTTTGTTGGAAATAGGTGTGTTTGAAAGGTTTAGGGACGAGACAGGTAATTTCAAGAGAAATCTTTTTGAGGATGTGGAGGGGCTATTGAATTTGTACGAAGCCTCTTTCTTTGGTCTAGAAGGTGAAGATATCATTGATCAGGCCAAGGCTTTTACGACGACACATTTGAAAGGTATCATCAGAGACATACCGCCAAGCATGTCCAGAAAAGTAGTTCATGCTTTGGATATGCCTTTGCATTGGAGATTGACAAGAGTGGAAGCTAGATGGTTCATCGATGCATATGAGCAAGAACAAAACATGAACCCACCTTTGTTACTGCTGGCTAAGTTGGAGTACAACATAGTGCAAGCCATTCATCAGAAAGAAGTTAGCAAGTTAGCAAGGTAGAAGCCTAGTTTTGTATTCAAGAAATGCATCTGTTTCACAATAATGGCATTGGTTGTTGATCACATGAAATTACTTTTCATTTGCATGCCATTTCCATGAATATTTTTTAAATTCGTTTCCATTTAATTTAAATGAATTGATCGTAAATTCTTAAATTCTCAGCTGGTGGGTGGATATGGGCTTGGACAAGATCAGCTTTGCCAGAGACAGACTTGTAGAACACTACTTTTGGTGCAATGGTATCCTATTTGAACCACAGTATATACCCTTTCGACTTATGGCAACGAAGATAATATGCTTAATTACTACTATAGATGATGTATATGATCTCTATGGCACAATGGAAGAAATCGAACTTTTTACAGATTTTGTTGACAGGTTTGGTTTATAAGGAGATTTGTACCATTTTTTTTATTAGATTTGCATACGTAAAATCTTTAATAACTACTGAACAGTAGTTTGTTTTTCATTTCTCTTCTTTTTGCTAATTAGTTCTATAATTTTTTTCTCTAAAACCTTCAGATGGGATATTAATGAAATTGACAAGCTTCCCCAGAACATAAAAACGTGCCTTCTTGCCATGTATAATACTAGCAATGAAATTGGGTATTGGACACTGAAAGAGCGACGCTTCAACATCATCCCTTATCTAAGCGAAGCGGTAAAACCTCATAATTGCATTTTTAATCATATTTACTGTTTTTTTTTTTCATTGCTGATAAAAAATCTGATCAACTATTTGTCTATATGAAAAAAAAAATCATATATGAATTATGTCATGATTAATAAATCAAAACTTCTTATTCTAAATATAATTTCATGGCAGTCTAGAGAGAATCAAAGAGAGTTGAATTTAGGATTGTCAACGGATCGAATTTGGATTGGATTTTGATTGATTCGAATTCAAATGGCCGGTCCGAATCCGATCCGGTAACTTGACGATTTTTTTTTCCTAGTCCACATCTGAATCTGTTAACAATTCGAAATCCGATCGAGCTGAATAAATTAATTAATTAAATTTTAACAAATTATACGTAAATTTCAACAAAAAATGTCTTTAAATAATCACTTAATTTCTTTAATATTTATATAAAAATATATACATAATTCAGATCGGATCATAATCGGAACGGATATAAATAAATCCAAATGTTCCAATTATGATCTGATTTGAATTCGGATCAAAATCTAATCCATTGAGAGGCCTAAATTTGATCAATAGAATGTGCATCACATATTCAGCTCAACAATCAACTAATACAATTCATGGAAACAGGTTACGTTTTTTTTATAAGTGCAAGCTTTCCTTTAGTTTTGGTAACTGAAAATTTACTGCAAAAAGTTTCTATTGTGTTAGTGGGCAGATCTCTGTAAAGCATACTTGAAGGAAGCAAAGTGGTACTATGGTGGATACAAGCCTACGTTGGAAGAATATCTTGAAAATGCAAAGGTTTCCATAGCAGCGCCTCTCATGCTATTATGTAGTTACTTCCTAACCACAGATAAAATCACTAAGGAGGCATTGGATCATCTAGATGAGCTTCCAAGTATCATGCGTTCCGCCAGCTTGCTTCTTCGACTTGCCAATGATTTGGGAACATCATCGGTATGTTTCACAACCAAGATAAAAAATTGACATGCATTATCAATGATTATATTATTTTATTAAAGTCACACATTAACATGAGATATGTGTAGGACGAGTTGGCCAGAGGAGATATCCTCAAGGCTGTTCAGTGTTACATGAATGAAACTGGTGCATCTGAAGAAGTTGCTCGTGAATACATAAACAATTTAGTCCATGAAATATGGAAGAAAATTAACCGAGATATGCTCAACCACTGTCCTTTCTCTGAACCATTTTTAAGTGCCAATCCAAATATTGCTCGGACTGCTCAATGCTTTTACCAATATGGAGATGGACATGGTGTGCCAGACAGTTGGACAAAGGATCATCTGATTTCCTTACTAGTCCAACCGATTGCTTTAAACTAGTGGTGAATAGAATGCTTGACTCTTGAGTCAAGCAGCATAATAATTATCAAATAACTTCAAGTCTTACCATTTCGGTGTAATGCTTGACTCTTGAATGTGGAATATTTGTTGTGCTGGCGTGGTTTCGTATAATTATTGCTATGTATTACTTCATTTCAATGGTCTTTAAGTATTGTCATCCTATGGAATCATGTTTTTATTCTTCTATAAAATGATTTGCTGATGCTCTTTTGAACTCATACAGTAACTGGGTTATGAGAGTGATGCCAAAAAATGCGGAGAAGTACACCAAAGCAATACAAAGTCGAAACTCACCACCAATTGAAAATCCATTGAAAGTATAAGAGTTTATCAAGAAGGAAACTTTCTTCAAGTAAGCCAAAGGCTGCAATTTTGTTCAAAAAATATCAAACTTTTTCAGCTAATACAAAACTAAATACTCTTATACAACTTACCATGGAATACCCCTTCAAGCACTACTGGTAATGACAACTTACATTTTCAAGAATAATACTTAAGATCTTTGACCAAGACCTAAAAATACTTGAAAACTATAAAAGAGTCTTGGAAAACATAAGACAATATAAGGCTAAACAAAATTAAAATAACAATTCCTGATTTACTAGATAGATTATGCACTATTTGATTAGCAAAATTGTCGTAACTCATTCTAAAAAATTCCAAATAATATACCGGTTGATGTTGATGTGAAAAGACTCAATTTATTATTGGAAATAGACCCAAAATTTAAAGATTGATTAAACCTTTGTTTTCCTCCAATTGAATCGGGCTTTGACTAACAAAAGGAGTTGGGCTATTTCGCTTGTCTTGTGCCACTCCCGTGTCAAACTCCCCGAGTTGGAAAAAAACTCATCCTCAAGTTTGACTCCGGCACATTATATGGAATTGAACTTCGACTTTCATCCTATCAACCATTTCAATCTTTTAAGTTTTATATTTAAAGAAATTTTGACTTCGATATCTCCTACAAAGATAAAGAATTTAAAGTGGTTTGGATGTCCTCTCAATATTAAGAAATGAACAGGCTTTCATTGACGCAATCATCTTTTTTTTTTTTTTGATAAAAGACAAATATCATTGATAAAAACAAAGATTATAAGAAGCAAAGAAGCAAAGCTTAATAGCCAAGGGAAGGCCGTAGCTGGCTTTAAACCTTCAAAGGAAAAACAAAGAAAAACTTCTACATAAGCTCAAGGCCCAAAGGAACTGCCCAATGGCGCAAAGCATGAAAAACAGCTGAAAAACCTGCTGAAAGCCCAGCTGGAGAAACAATAAAACCAGCTGGAAGTCCAGCTGAAAACCAATTGAGCAAAACCAAAGAGCACCGTTAAACCAGTGCAGCGTCGAACAAGAACCAGAAGCCCCAGCAGCGAGCAGAAAAAGGGCCATGAGAAAAAACAGCCCATCAAAGCCACAGCAGCATAATAAAACCTTGATTGACAAGACCCCCAAGCTGGACCAGCTGAAAGGCATAAAAAGCGATAAGACCAGCTGAAAGCCAGCTAAAAATCCAGCTGGAAGAAGGCCAGCTGAAAGTCCAGCTGGAAAGTCAGCTGCAGCAGCAGCAATAATGAATGCCAAAGTCCAGCAGACAAGAAACACAAGAGAGGCATAAATGCAGCCATGAATCCCAGGTGCAACCAGCTTCATAAAACCATAAAACAGCATAGATTCCTCTGCCACATAACCGCCCATAATCATAAACAAATCTTGATAGCCAGCAACCTAGGAAGCACAGATACAAATACGTGACACAGATACAAAACGATACGAATATGATGATACAGTAAAACTTAAAAAAATAAGATACGAGTACGGGCAGGATACGTCTATAATAAAATATATTTTATATTTTATTATTATTTAACGACTTAGAAATTATAATTTTTCAATAATTTTTTAACATTAGTAAGTAAAATTAAAAATTTTTACCATAAAAAGATTATAATATCATCTCATTATGATCTGTTTATAAAATGAGCATGACAAATCAAAGGAATTATAATAACATTTAATTAGTTGATTTTACAAGTATTTATTTTTAAAAGTATAGTGTAAGTGATTCTTTTTTTTATACCCTCTTAAAATATAATAATAGATAATACTTAAAAAACACTCGTGTTTTTTAAATCAGATGGAATTTTGTTGATGTTTTATATTGTATGTGAACTCCAAAGAAGGGTTATAGCTTAAAATTGAAAATTGTACATCTTACACCATGTTTAAAAGTATCCGTGAAGTATCCACATATTTTATTAATTATCGAATATGGATGATGTGTATCCGATACGTATCATCGAGTATCCGACGAGTATCGTATCCAATACGGTATCGAATACGGGTACATCGACCTTGACGAAATATCCGTGTTTCATAGCTGGCGACAAACTCATTATGCAATCCATATTTATCATAAACCATGCCAATGTAGGGATGGAAACATTCAACTAATCATGACTCTATTGGTCGAGAAGTGCAAGGGACATCAGGCTTCGCCCTCTTGGAAAGAGGGAAAGACGCCACCCTAGAAGCATAGAAAATCTCTACCATTGCTCTATCAATAGTAGCATCAGAGGAATTGGCGTAAGAAGAAGAGTTTACACTCATCAAGTTTATTGAAAAGATCAATACCTTTCCTCTTTTACTTAAGGGAGGCTCTAGAGTGACTCAACGCAGACGTAAGGGCCGCAAATTGCTTGGTAGGATGATCCCTCATAGCTTGGAGTCTACTCTCTTGTTTCGCATATAATATGGGTGAAGCTACAAAAGTACCAAAGAGGCAGTGAATATGAGAGGGATATGATATTCAGACATAAAAGCAAGGGGAAAACTCATACCTAGCTTGGTCTTCAGAAGAATACACCATCTCAAGGGCACTAAGTCACGATCCTCCTTGGCAGCCCACTTATCTCCCACGAAGAAAAACTTGGACTTCCAACTATGACAATTCAAGAGTAGTCTAGTGATTGGCTTGCCCGACCTCGAAATAAAGTGGTACCATCCTTGATGAGGAGTGAGATTATCTAAAAGTACATATGAAGCCAAGAACTTCTCAAAAGGGGGAGAACCATCCTCGCCATGAAGCAGTCGCCATAGTGAAAAGAGCGCCAAGATTACCCTCCAGCCATTCGAGGTCAACCTCCTTGCGGTAAATGACAAGTGACCTAAAATCCGATAGGTGGGCCCAGGTATGAAAAACCTCAATCCCGTCTCTAGGACATCCACATAAAAAACAATCTCCCTGTAGGAGTCGAAGCATGCCGGCTTGTCCTCCTCGGCCCGGCGGCACAGAATAGCAGGAAGGATAAGAGGACACAATATTGACAATACTACAATAACAATCTATGGAACTAAAAATTGAAGTTACCTTCGAATCATCATTGACAGCAGCTCCTTTGACTCACTGAGAAGCCTGTACGGAGTTTGCCATCATGCTTTCATCAAATTGGCAACTACAAAGATAGGAGCATATAGTCAAGAAAATGTCAAAAAAAAGAAGGAACAAAGGGGGTGAGCAGATTCGCCTTACTTAGTCGAAAGGTGTCTCCATTCCCCCTCCATGGCAAAACCCAGGATACTGCATTCACTACTCAGCACGCCTACTCGCTGATCCCTATCAACACCAGACGCCTGCTCGACGGAGCCCAACTTCCTGCTCTCATTACCCATCTCTCTAGTGCTTGGGACGTCCCCCATGTCACCCACTACGAGGGCAACGCCACCTCCTGCACCCAACCCGTCTTCAAGACCAAACCTGTAACTCAGCGCGTCGCTAACATCATCCAACGCGTCCCTAGCACCAACTAGCCTCCACCCGCGTCTCCGGCGGCACTTGGCCTGCGCTTACAATCGCCCAGCCCAGCCCAGCCCGTGCTTGGCGTCGCCCGGCATTGGTGTCTGGCGTCACGCAAGTTGCCCAGCTCACGTGTGACGTCTCCCTGCCTACTGCCATTGTCTGCGCTCTTTGCTCCAAGGGCGTCGCCTTCTCCTTATCTGGCTCCTTGGGCGTCGTGTTTCCCTCCTTATGTGCTGCCCCCTTAGTCTGCGACGCCGCCCTTGATGGTTGGCGGTGCCCCTGGTTTCGCTGTGGATTGAGCTTCGCCAGGCCTCGCCGAAGTATCGCCAACGCCTGATTTCGCCTGCGATCCCACTGTGGCAGCTTTGCTTGTCCTCGTCAGTCTCTCTCTAATCCCCATCTCCAGTTTCTTTGTGAAGCTCTCTGCAATCTATAAATGGGGAGACGAAGGTTGTTTAGCCCAATCCAGAGAGAAGGGGAGCAATAAAAATGATGCAAAAATCAATAGTCCATTCATCGGTTTACATATTTATTGACCAATAGGCCATGCCCTAAATGAAAAGGGGGGGGGGGGGGGGTTTGGCTGCTAGATCTAATGAGAAATCCAAACAAAAGAGATTGGTTGCTACTACAATAGTTGCCCAACCATGGAGTTATCAAACAAGGAAAGAAGCTTCGTAAATGCAAAAGGATGAAAAATTGAAGAAGTTACAGTGGGGAACAAGATACGTCTGCCAATGAGAGAGCTCACTAATGTCCTCAACCTAATGTGACCACAAGGGCTTGGGGCATGGAGGGCAAATGATGAGTCCAAGAACCAATTAGGCCTGGGCCAGTCGAATGGCTAAGGCTAAATCGCCAAATAAGTTAAGCCTAGTTCATGGCTTTGGTCTAACCCGCAAATCAAGAGTCTAGGAAGGGTCAGCACATGTGAGAGAGTAATCATCGGGATCATAGTTTTAAAATCAGGCTCAGACATCAACCCGGCAGAGAGACCGGATCAGTGAATCACTAGTTCAACCATTGGGTCACTGGTCGAACCAGTCATATAATAAAAAAATAAATAATAATTATAAATAATAATAAATAGGCTAAAAATACAATAATTATAACAATAGCTGCAAACATGTAAATTAAGTAAAAAAAAATATCAAACATGTATCTAATGCATTTAATTTCTAATACAATTGGTAAATCTAAAGGTAAGTAGAAAAATATACCTCTATTTAACTTCAAGACTTCAAATCTAAGTCTCCTACTATGCATCAATCATTCAATCCAAACATAATTCACGTAATTTGTACTCTTTAAAGTATAAATTAAAATGCATAAGACAGTAAATCCAACATCATCTCATTTCACAGCATAAAAAACCATCATCTATAATCAATTTCAAGCCTAAAAAATTATAGTATCAATAACATCCCCACAATATTGTAACCCACAAAAGAAAAAATGCAACCCATAAAGTGTACATGTTACTATTAGATAGAGTAGAGAGACCGAAACCAAACTGAGATCAACCCTTTCAAATTCCAACCCACAAAAAAAAATGCAACCCAATAATTCTGAAAATATAGTATTATCAATTATCAACATCAAAATTCAATGTATACAATGCAACCCACAATGTATGCAATGCAACTCACAGAGACAAATCGAGAGAGAAGAGAGAGAGAGAGAGAGAGTATGAGTCAGTAGTATAGCTGTTGCAGTGCCTGATGGTCATCGTCGATCGGTTGCCTCGATTGATGGAGCTTTGAAGCAGTGAAGGTGAAGTAGCTTTCTCCTTCAAAAATCGAAATCGTAGCGAAGAAGTTTAGGGATCAAAGTTCCTTCCCCTTTAATTCGAGTCTTCGTGCTCCTAGTGCACATTTCACACTACTGTAGAGACCAGAAGTAGAGAGAGACTGAGAGATTGATGAGACTCTGTGTGTGTGTGTGAGAGAGAGAGAGAGAAAGAGAAAGAGAGAGAGAGGGTTGTTCGTGAAGAAGGGAGCTGATTAGGAGAATAGGGAAGGAACGATTAGAGCAGCAAGGCAAAAATGCAAAAAGGGCCCCCAAAATTCAGTTTTTATACTAAATAGAAAAACTCAGCCAGTTTGATTAACTCATCCGGTGTGATGATTTTTACCGATTTTTTCCAAGTCTCTGGATTTACTCCAATTTTGGTGGATAAATGATCCAATAGGTGAACCGGCCCAATTTAGGCACCGGTTCACCGGGTCAGCCTGTCGGTCTGGACCGGATTTTATAACACTGATCGGGATAACCACTATTCTAAGATAACACATATCCTTAATTGTAGCTATCCTACTCGAAAGACTTGTTGCTTGACCTTCACGTCACCGCCTTAACTAGGGCTCTGTGCCTATAAATTATAAACTCTCTACATATAAGGGATATCACACACACACCACACCTTGAGCTTACTTTTGTTCTTGCTCTCTCTCTCTCCCTCACCTACTACTTTATTCTTTCATCAATAAAGTTCTTCGGCCACTGTTGTCACCTTCAGTGGTTAGGTCACCTAGGCCCAACCACCAAATCTTTGTCTTTTACTATTGATTACTTCATTAATTACATTGTTTCATACACTCGACTGATTTGGTTGTGCATAACTTGTATTGTGCATCATCATATTTAACAATCACAACCTAACTATTACATTAACATATTTAAATTGTTTGAATTTGACTCAAACTTTCTAACTATCATGAATGAGAGTTTGTTGGACAATTAATGTAAGAATCCTAAATGGAATAGGAAACATATTTAAAGAGTTTAATATACCATAAATAAGTATATTATACATGTGATAGGAAACATAAATATCAAATTGTATCTGAATAGGTTTGGATTCTAATATTTTATCTCTATAAATACAGTTGAGTATTGTGTAATTAGTTAGCAAATGACCAATTTTTTAGTGAATGATGATATATCGATGTAGATTTTTGGTTCGTGAATGTAGGTATATTGTATTAAGATGAGTATGTTATATCGAACTACATTATATCTTTGTGTCATTTTTTTATTATTTTTTTATATTTGAATTCTTATTTTTCAACAAATATTAATTGTATTAATTATTTGTTGTGCAAAACCAACATAAATTATGTCCCAATAATATTAATGTTAACAAATTCCAAAAACCACCCAGAAGATTAACCTAAGTATATCATTCTAACCATTTGAAAACAATTTTTCCTAGAAAAATTGTAAAATGTTAAAGAAACTCAATGTTGTGATCAGATAGCTTAATGCTTATCATCATTTTGTCTTCTGGTAACCCTAATGTAGCAGTAAACTGTGGCGAAAATGGTAGTTACAAGTCCACCAATGATGAACCCCCACCAATCACTGACTTATTAGTGGAGTGGTGTCTTCTAATTTTTTTGCTTTCCGGAGCTTCTGTTGCACCTCTCTCTCTCTCTCTCTCTCTCTTTTCTCCTCCTCCGTTGATGGTGGTGGTGATGACTCTGCACCTCCAATTGATACAAGCGAATCTGCAATTGTTATTGCCATCTTTTCCGACATAACCGAGCTTCGAACCCTAAGTTTTGCTGGGTAAGGTTCTGAAGTTTCATATCTATTTGCCAATGCTTGGACCAACAAGATCTCAGCTAGAATGAAGAAAGCCAAAACAAGTCGACCCATTATGAGATAGCTCAAAGTACAACGTTGTAAGAGCTTGATTAACGGTTCTGTAAATGTGGATGTGTGGTTATGTGAGTTAAGTTAGTGGTAATGCTCTGTGAAACTTCGTGGTTGCTGGAGAGGAGATCTGCTATGGATCTGCTGTCTCAGCTGTGGGGTTTTCGTATGTTTATAGAGGATCAAAGGAGGATGAGGAGAAAGGAAATGGGGTTATTTCATGGTAAAGCTGGTTGTAGGAGGAGGAGGAATTAATCTGGAGTGAGGTTGCGTTTGGTTGGCGTTTTTGTTTTGTGTTTTTTATTTTTGTTTTCATTTTTTGTAAAAAAACAAAAACAAAAATGTGTTTTGGTTTGTGTTTCTCTTTCATATAAAATATGGTGTTTTGAAGACAAGGCCCAAAAACAAAAAACAAAAAAAAGATGACCCAAAAAATAATTAAAATAGAACAAACGCGCAAGGGGGGGCTGGGGGAGTTAATGAGATCCAGTCTTCAAGTCTTTTTAGCAGCAAAACACATCTTTTTTAGTTGAAGTATAAAAAACTATGCATCTCTCTCTCTCCTCTCTCTATATCAGACGAGCACCTCCCTCTGCTTCTCTCTCCACCGCTGCCTCGCTCTCTCCATCTCTGTCTCTTTTTCCTTCACTGCCTTCATCGATGCATCCCTTTCCATCGGTGTTTCTCTCCATCGCTACCTCCATCGTTGCTTCTCTTAATCGCTGCTTCTATGGCTCTCTTCATCGCATCTCTCTCTCTCTCTCTCTCTCTCATCTTGTTATGTGCAATGAAGAGATCTCAGATCTTGAGTGTATGATTTCTGCCTCCATCGTTGCTTCTGTGTGTGTGTCTGATTTTTTTGTTTGTGTGTGTGTGTGATTCTTGGGTGTGTGTCTGTGTTTGATGTCTAGGTCTCTGTGTGTGTGTGATTTCTGTGTATGTGCGTCTAATTTCTCTGTGTGTGTGTGTGAGATCTAATTTTAGTAGTAGTTAGGGTTAGGGTTGGTTTTTGCCTTGAGTAATAGTATTGCACTTGATTAGTTTAAGAATTTGTTTGAGGGCTATCTTGCCACCCTAAAGACTCCCAAACATGTTTTTTGTTTTTAGTGTTCACCACAAATTAAAGACAATTTTGGTCTCTGTTTTTTGGTTTTTCGAAAACGTGAAAACAAAAATATTATGAACCATGTAAATCTTGGTGTTGTGAGTTATGTTTTGATTTTCTTTATTCTGCATATTTATTTTCTTATCGTTATACTGACCAAATTGATGCGAAGTTAATTCTCAATAAGTGGTATCAGAGCTCCAGGTTTGTTCAAGAGGATTGTAATTAAGAACAAGTGCGCATAGTTCTTGATTACCGATGTTGCGTACGATGATGGAAAACATGCATCTCGATTGGCAAATTCAAGTTGGAGCCCTTTGATGGGAAAAACAACTATAGTCTGTGGCAAAATACAATTAAAGACATCATGGTGCAAAAAGGACTGCCCAAAGCAATACTGAAGAAAGGCAAAAAAAACCAGTAGACATGAAAAAGGAGGACTGGGAGGAACTTGAGATGAGAGATGTGAGTACCATCCGTTTATCTCTTGCACCAGAGGTAAAATATAATTTTTTAAATGAAACTTCTGCTTTGGATATATGGGAAAAATTGGAAAAAATTTATATGTCAAAATCTCTCACAAACAAATTGTTACTGAAGAAACAATTATATCAATTGCGAATGGTAGAAGGAACAAATATTGTTGATCATCTCAAACAGTTTAATAAAATTGTTACTCAACTTTCTAGTGTTGAGGTTAAAATTGTAGAGGAAGATAAGACTATTCTCCTCTTGGCTTCTCTTCCATCTTTTTTTGATACACTTATGACTACACTTTTGATTAGGAAAGATACTCTCAGGGTTGATGAGATGACGATGACTCTCTTGGAGACTGAGAAACTCTGAAGGCTATGAAACGATTCCCAAGCAGTATGGTTGATGGCCATTGGTGAATCAAGCCAACAACGAGGAAGAAGTAAAAACAAAGGCTCTGAAAATAGAGGAAGGTCACACTCAAAATCAAAAGGGAAGAATGGTAGCAAAATCAAGTGTTATTACTGTCATAAGGAAGAACATATGAAAAGGGATTTCTATAAGAGAAAGCGAGATCTAGAGGACAAATAAAAATATGTGAATTCAGATCAAGTAGACATTGCACAAGGTTGTTCAGATGGTAATGGTGATTTATTGTCAGTCACCACATGTATGAATTATCTTGTTGACAAATGGATATTGGATTCTGGATGTTCTTACCACATGTGTCCGTATAGGTAATTGTTTGATACTTATAAACCCAATAATGGAGAAACTGTTGTAATGGGTAATGATGTAGTTTGCAGTACAGTTGGGATTGAGACCATTAAAATAAAAATATTTGATGGTATGGTGAGAACACTAGGTAATGTACTGCATGTCCTTGACCTGAAAAAGAATTTAATTTTTTTATGTATACTTGAGTCCAATAGTTTTACTTTTATGGCAACGATTGAGTTCTAAAATTTGTTAAAGGGGCCATGGTTGTCATAGGAAACGACAGAGTAACTTGTAGACATTGGTAGGGAGTACTGTTACAGGTGTATCAATTGTGACAACTCTGTTGGATCCAAGTATTGATAAAACTACTCTATGACATTACAGACGAAAGCTACTTGATGGGTAAAAGTTTGTAAATTTATTTTTTGCAAATATTGCTTTTATGGTAAATAGTGTAGGGTGAGCTTCAAGACCGAAAAACATACAAGCAAGGATGTGTTGGAGTACATACACTCAAATGTATAGGGACCTGTGCCAGTTCAATCCAAAGGTGGAGCAGTATATATCATGACTTTTATTGATGACTTCTCTAAGAAAGTATGAGTCTACTTTATGAAGCACAAAAATGAAGTCTTCGACAAATTTAAGCAGTGGAAAGCTGAAGTTCAAAAGCAGATAGGTAAGCAGGTCAAGTACCTACGGACGGAAAATGGCATGAAGTATGAACTCTGAGAATTCAGAAAGTTTTGCCCGACAGAAGGGATCACTCAACATTATACTGCACCAGGTGGGCCACAACAAAACAGTGTAACGAAAAAAATGAACATAACCCTTTTAGAAAAAGCAAGATGTATGAGACTTCTGGCAGATTTTCCAAAATTATTTTGGGTTGAGGTTGTTAACATGGCATGCTATATTGTTAACAGGTCACCGTGTTCAACTATTGCTGAAAAAAGTCCCTAAAGAGGTGTGGACAGGTAAACTAGTTGATTATTCTAATTTAAGAATAGTTGGTTGTACTACTTATGTTCACGTGTAGGAGCAACAACAATCGAAGTTGGATCCAAAGTCCAAACAATGCATATTTATTGGTTACAAAAAAGTCGTGAAAGGTTATAAACTTTGGGATGTAGTTGCACAAAAGGTTGTAATTAGCAGGGATGTTGTCTTCAATGAAGAGCATATGCTGAACTTAAATAGGGAAGATGTTGATAAGCAAGTGGAGGTTCATGCAAAAAAGTTCTCAATTCAGATAGAGCCAGATGAAACACAACGGCCCAATGAAGAGGATGATGTACCAACGTCCTCTTAAGAAGATACTTTTGGTGGTGATGATGACCAATAAAAATCCACAACTCTAGCTACTAGAAGATGGAAAAGAACCTATAAGGCACCAGACAGGTATGGTTTTGAGGATATGGTTTCTTTTGCATTGGTTGTTGGTAGTGGAGATTCATCTTCTTTTCAGGAGGCTATCAATGACAAAGAAAGTGAAAAGTGGATGATAGAAATGGAGGATGAGATGGAGTCTTTACACAAAAACAACACTTGGGAGCTTGTAAAAAAAAAGAACTTACAATAGAAATGAAGAAGAAAAATTTAAAGCTCGTCTTGTAGCGAAAGGATATAGGCAAGTCAAAGGGATTGACTATAATGAAAATTTTTCTCCCGTTGTAAAGCATTCTTCTATTCATGTTATGTTAGTCATGGTAGCTATGTTTGACCTTGAGTTGCAGCAACTTGATGTCAAGACAGCGTTCCTTCACGGAGAATTGGAGAAGGAAATATTATTGAGCAACTAGAAGGATTCAAGGTGCAAGGTAAAAAGAATCTAGTATGTAAACTTAAAAGATCTCTTTATGGGTTGAAACAATATCCTAGGCAATGATATATGAGATTTGAATCATTTATGGTGCATGTTAGCTACATGAGAAGCAGTTATGATAGTTGTGTTTATTATAAGATGCTTGAATATGGTTCTTTTATTATTCTGATGCTCTATTTGATGACATGTTAATTACTTTAAATAACATGCATGAGGTAAATTTGCTGAAGTCTAGATTATAGAGTGAGTTTGACATGAAGGATCTAGGTGCTGCTAAAAAGATCCTTGTCATGGAAATTCAGAGGGACAGAGGAAAAGACAAACTATGGGTTTCATAGAACAAATATGTGGAGAAGGTGCTAAAGAGGTTTAACATGGTTAATTCAAAGTTGGTCAATACATCTCTAGCGAACCACTTTAAATTATTTGCTAGATTATATTCGTGTAACGCCACAAAAATCACCTTGAACGGCATTACAATTTAAAACCATTCATATCATGAGAACAACTAATAAAATCCATCAATAAAGGAATTCCATTAATCAAATGTAATATTTACAACGTCATTCTCAAAAGAATATGCCAAAACATGACTATTATATCCCAAAAGAATTACATTTAAACTTGCAGCGGAATATAACAAAAGATTAGTCTTTACATAATCTCAAAAGAAATTTCCTAGTTTAGCACTTAGGAGAATATAACCCTAAGCATCCACCACGAGATCCACGTGCCCGTCTAGCAGAGCTTCCCCATGCACTTGCTTATCGACTCCGAACTCCTCATCTAACACGTAATCTGAAAAATATGTTGTTTGTAGGGGGTGAATAATAAACTCTGTAGCAACATTCCTCCCAAATTCGAATAAAGTTTAGAAAACGTATAAAGCAAGTCAGCCTCATTTTGCAAATATCATATATCAATTTTTGAAATAAAACCGGGACATTTCAACGAATCTCAAGTTTACGCAATATTAATAATTTAAATAAACAGTAAAATGAATTTCTCAACAATAAACCATTTCCCACAAGTTCTTGTAGAGTCTCATACCTCTACAAGCTCTTGTAGGAAACCAATTTCACACAATAACAATAATCGTTTAATAGTGTCATCTCATATTCTCATGTATGTTGATTACTTCCCATGAATCTACACCTCAAGTCTACCTCGTTCACCTAATCATAACTACACAAACCACTTTAGGAAGGGCGTATACCGTCTCCCACGGCATTGACGAATCTTTTGCAGGAAAGGTATATCATCCCTCAACCTCGAACTTACGTGAACAATAGTGGTTGCTCTCACAAACAACAAATCACTACAAGTTTTAGGAAACCATCTCACCCTCCACTGGGATAGACTAACTCTAACACTTTACAACAATGCTTGAATGAAATTCAAGTCCATCACAACAACCATACAAGAGATGCCATTCCAACCAAATTCTCAAATCATAAGTAAATCATAAATCTCTCAATTTCACAATTTGTAATACAAGAGAACAATTTATGAAAATAAGCAAAAGATCATCACAACATTATTTTATTACTCAACACAAAGCACTAGGATTTCGAAATCAATAACCAAGGAAGAATCAAAAGGAAAATCCATTTATCTTGAAAACTAGGGTTTCATGCCAAGAAAAGAGATTTAATGGTTATTTAACCATTACTTTGCTTAAAACATGGTGGTCTTTGCAAGGATACCAAGAAATAAAGATTTCATTACATATATATAAGATTTAACGTTAAAAGAATACATATAGATAAGCCATAGTCTCAATCTAAGAGAATAGGAAGAAACACATACCTTGGTGTTCTTGAAGAACTAGGGTTTTGCTATTCTTGAAGTGAAAATCCCCTTTGATCTTGTATTTTTCTCTTCCTTTCTTCCTATCTAAGGTTTTCTAGGGTTAGAGATGTTGAAATGGGGCTAAATGGGATGTCCTTAGGTATTTATAGTGGAAGAAAAATCGATTGTTTTGCGACTTAAAATTTCAGATTTTTAGAAAACCTTCTAGAAAGCTTTTCATCGACCTTCCGGAAGGTCTGTCTACTGGACAAACATTTTCATTAACCTTCTAGAAGGTTTGTCATCGACCTTCCGGAAGGTTTTGCCTACTGGATAAGCCTTTACCTTAACTTTCCGGAAGAACATTTCTTTAACCTTCCGGAAGGTTTTGCCCACTGAATTAGCATTTACCTTAACCTTCCAGAAGATTTTTCATCGACCTTCTGGAAGGTTTTGCCCGTTTTTCTACAAATCATTCTTTTTCTTCATTTCCAATCCATTCTAAATCTTTCCAATTCCAACCTAAACTTATACAAAATACTTTTGTACATCAAACCTAGTTGGTACAAGTTCTATTACAACGATTTCATATATTTGCAAGCTAAAACTAAGTTTTAACTACTATTTACTCGAATTTTTTCATATTAACATTTCAAAAGAAATAATTACTTGCTATATAAACCTATATACATATATAAAGATAAAAGTGTGGGGTTTACAATCCGTCTCTAGTGCAGTGGGGGAAATGTCCCGAGTTTTCGTACACTAGTGCAGTAGGAAGCTTAATGTATGTCATGGTTTGCAGCCGGTCAAATATCTCACATGCAGTCAGTGTTGTAAGTAAGTAAGTACATGGAAAATCAAGGAAAGGAGCACTTGTATGAAGTTAAATGTATTTTTAGTTACTTGAAAGGTATGGTGGATATAAGCATCTTGTATTAGAGACAAAAGGAGACAGGACATGTTGTGGGCTATGTAGTTTTAGACTATGCAGGTTATCTGGATAAGCAGAAGTCTAGTACAAGTTATATTTTCACTTTTGCAAGTGGACCTACCAATTGGGGAAAGCTATGCTTCAATTAATCCCCACTTTATCCACAACTGAAGTGGAGTATATGGCAATGGTAGAAGTTGCCAAAGAGGCTTTGTGGTTGACAGGGTTGGTCAAAGAATTGGGATTGAAGCAGAAAAGCTTGAAGTTGTATTGTGATAGTCAAAGTATTATTCACTTAGCAAATAATCAAGTTTATCATGCCAAGATGAAACACATCGACGTGAGGAATCACATTATCAGAGAATAGACGGAGGATGACAAGATAAGTTGGATGAAAGTACAAATGGAAAATAATGCAACCGATATATTAACAAAGTCAGTGACTACACAGAAGTTCAAACATTGCTTGAGCTTGATCAATCTTTCACACTATTAAAGATTGATGAGGTATTCCACGGCATGGGGATGGGCATCTCAAATTGAGATACGGGCCTGATATTTCAGGTGGAGGTTATGAAATTTTCGCTAAGATGGAGATTTGTTGGCAGTGGCTCAAATTTTTGTTTTGATTGATTTGGTGACATCATTGCTAAAAAGAAATATTTTGATTGATTAACTAACATCACTGCTAAAAGCTTATTGGATGATACAAGTGGAGCAATTTCATTGCTTGAATGAGATGAGAATTCCTTTATAATTGGTTAGATGATGTTATTGCTACAATTTGATTGGAAGATACAAGTGGAGCAATTTCATTGCTTGAATGAGAATAGAGTTCCTTTGTAATTGGTTAGATGATGTCATTGCTAATATCTTATTTGAGGATATAAGTGGACCAATTAAATGTAAAGAAGTTCATCTTCCACCACCTTGAGGTGCCTATAAATAGGCATGGATCTCTTGGTTTTGAGATTTTTTCGAATAGGAAGAATTACACCCAGACCCCCTGAGGTTTGTCATTTAATCACTCATACCCCCTGATATTTGAAATATTACACATACCCCCTGAGGTTTGTCCGTGCGTAACATTTATACCCCTGTTGTAAATATATCTGTTAATAAATTATACTTAGACTCCCCAAAGGTTTGTGGGTATATAATACATAGATCCGTTAAGTTTAAAATATTATACTTAAACCAAAAATACCCCAATCAAATATAAAATATAAAATGTTTTCAATTTTATAACTAAAATTCATGTTCTATTGTATCATTTATTGAAATAAAAATAAAAATAAAAATTTAATTTTTTCTTAAAAAAATCGTAATTAGTATACAATTATACTATCTATTAGAATAAAACTACAAAAATAAATAATGGATCTAAGTCATTCATAATAGAACATGAATTTTACATCCAAAATTCATGTTCTATTTTTTCATTTATTGAAATAAAATCAAAAAATAAAAAATTATTTTTTTTAAAAAAACATAGTTAGTATATATTTATATTGTCTAATAGAAATTAAAAAATTAAACAAGGAATCAAACTGTAATGGACACAACATCTTTTAGATTTAATTGAGATAGTTTGGTATTTTAATTTGGTCGTTTAAACGACAAAATTAAATTCTAATAAACAATATAATTGTATCTAATTACAATTTTTTAAGAAAAAATGAATTTTTTTTTTGATTTTATTTCAATAAATTATACAATAGAACATGAATATTGGTTGTAAAATTTAAAATATTTGATATTTGATATTTCATTCGATTATTTTTGGTCTAATTATAATATTTTAAACTTAAAGGGTCTAAATATTATATACCCACAAACTTCAAGGGGTCTAAGTGTAATTTATTAACATATATATATAACAGGTGTCTAAGTGTTACGCGCGTACAAACCTCAGGGGGTCTGTGTGTAATATTTTAAATGTCAAGGGGTCTGAGTAATTAAGTGACAAATCTCAGGAGTCTAGGTGTAATTCTCCCTTTCGAAAATTGTATTTGTTCAATTTTCATTCTCTTGTTGAGAGTACGAGAAATTTTCTTTACTGGGGGTTTGAGAGGGTAAGGTTGAGTGGGCTGTACAAAGGGTTAAGGACTTGTGTTTGGGATTTAAACATAAGTGGTGAGATTTGTACCATTATACTTACTTTCTCTCGATAGTAAAAAAAAAGAGACCGGATCGTGCCTCATGAACGTAGGCAAAGCAATTTTGTCGAACCACGTAAATCTTAATGTTGTGAGTTGTGTTTTGATTTTTTTTATTCTGCTTGTTTATTTTCTTCTTGTTGTACTGACCAAATTGCTGCGAAGTTAACTCCCAACAATTTATATATATCCCATATCAATATGACAGGATTTTTATGATAGTGTCATGTCATTTCAGTTTCTTGTCACGCTAGCGTCACACTTGTATTGATAAAAAATTATTTGATTCTGTCTCAATTCATAAAATAGTAGATTAATAAATAAGTACATCACTCCCCTTGTTTTTTTTTTCTTGATAATACAAGTGAAGTTGTTGTTCATGTCTAACAATTGGTTGATTTATTCTCCATGCTACAATTACACCTTAGCATATTCTGGCTCTTATCTTGACTTTAGGTATTTGGGAAATTCTACTAAAAAAATTTCGTACCATACTGCTGATTACCATTTTGTAAGGGTAAAGTTAAAACTTTGAAAAGAGAGTTACAATGGCTCAAGAGAGTAAGATCATGAAAATCTCGGTATTGATCATAATCTTTTATGATCGATCATACCTTTTAAAATTGTTACTTACACCTCAAATAAATTATACCTTAATCTTAAAAAATTATAATTTTAAGTATGATACTGTCAACAATACGGTGACTTTTCCCTTAAATATTTTTTTTTTCTCTCCACATGGGGTTCCAAACTTTTACAGGACAATTTTTCATCTCTTAGAACATTGTTGATTACCTGGAAACCTCAGCCAGTTCCATTTGGTGAAGTGATTGGACCTGGTTATACTCCAACTTAGCTAGTTCCAGAAGGGTTGAATTGTGGTCGCTTTCTCTGCTGTACTCTTCAATGTACCTTCTAGCTTCTAACCTAGCCATCCTCAAGTGCCTTGGAAGCTCTAAAGACTGGAGGACCTGTCTCCGGAGTTGGGGTGCCATTTGTAAAACTCATAATTTTAGGTGGACTTTAGTGAATTTCAATTTCCATGGCCTTTGATAATACATCTTCACCTTTTACACCCAAGTAAGATGCTTCATATAGGCTTAACATACCCAATGTGTCTTCACTCAACAATTCCTTGAATTCACCATTCTTGTCCATGAGTTTTTGAAAGACATCTGTCAAATAGCTCGAAGAAGACAAACAAATGATTTAGCTAGCCCAGCTGATTTACAAACATAATTCGAATAATGTTGTATATATAAGATCAGTTGTGGTGGGAAACATAGATGATATAGGAAACATATACTGTCACTAATCTCTCAATACACATTGTATATATATTCAATTGAATTAAAGTTCTTGTGCACGATGATTTTCACACAATATATAAATAAAAAGGATAGATCTCTCTTTTGGCGTACATGGGATTTACGTGAAAGCTGAGGATCTCGAAGCAACAGGAAGTGAGAAAGATACTAAGGAGTGGTGATGAATAACTTTTTCGACAGTCCGCGCAATCATGGTGTGTTGAAATGAATTATGCCACTCAAAAAAGAGAGTTCGAAGGGTGCCAGAATGTTTTTCGGCTTGATCCCTCCAACGATCAAGTCAGCACATGAGAGAGAGGAGGAAGAACACTGTTTTATTGCTTGAATCAGAGTTGCGTACCTTTGCCTTACATTTGTGAGAGCTATTTATACCTTCATGGAGGTAATCATTATAGACAGGTGAGTCCCTTGGAGAGGAAGTCCTTTATTGGTCTCTTTGGATGGCAGCCTGTGGAGGATAACCCTTGGGTAAAGTGCCTTCCTTGTCAGATGAAAAGAAGCTTCAACATTTAATTCTCGGGCCCCCGAGCAGTTAATGCACTCCCCCTAGAGTCCGTTGAGCAATAAATGTGTCTCATCCTTTTGATGAATCATTTAATGTCCATCATTGTGGCCGCGCATGTGCTGGGGCATTTGCGTCCTTTGCCCCTCCAGGAGGTTATGTCATCTGGACTTCGTATTTCATGGACTTTCTCTATTGGTCACCAAATTGTCTACCTTGCCATTCTGATTACATTGAGAATAGGGTTTGATGATTACAAGCCACCCATTCCTCTGAAGTGGTGAGATTATTCTTGCCTTCTCTAAGAACTCAACCATTTGGCATAGCCCAAGTCCCAAGGTGGTCGTCATTACCTCGGCGGAGTGGAGGACCCGACGCCGAGGAAACATGTCGGATGGAGGTTTCCTCAGGAAACTTTGGGAGCCGAGGACATGTGTCACGTGATGAAGACTCCGAGGTATCTTTAGTGCCAAGGACACGTGTCACTCGCAGGAATCTCCAAGGTGCCTTTAACGTCGAGGTGACATGTCATGTGGAGAGTGATCCGCGGACAAAATTTTGAGGACTCCGCAGACAACATGTCAAGGATTCTGAGGTGCCTTTAGTGCCGAGGACACGTGTCACTCACAGGAAGCTCCGATGTGCCTTTAGCGCCGAGGTGACATGTCATGTGAAAAGTGCTCTGTGGACAACATGTCGAGGACTCTGTGGACAACATGTCAAGGATTTCGCAGATAAGATGTCGAGGACACGTGTCGTCCAAAGAACACTCTGCAACCAATACATGAAGGACACGCGTCTCATCCCCTTTGATCACAGAAAATGTCCCATCAGTTCTTATCATGATACTTCATTCATATGTTTCCTAATAAGCTGAATAACAGTTAATATTATGAGACTTTCAAGGGACAGATAGTTTTTTGGTATCGTAACTCCTCTTTTAATCCAATCAAAAGATGATACGTGGAAACTTTTAATTACATTATTATTTCATGTAATATTTTAATTTCAACGATCAATGGGTACCAATAACTCAAATCAATATCTACGGTTGATGATCATTTTGTTGGACCAAAATAGTTTTTTAAGTGTAAAAACTAAATTTTTGGTCGATTTTGAGTCTAAATTAAAGTGGGACCCATTAGTTGTTTTGAGTAAACTTTCGTGGGTTCATATTTTACTCCATGAGAAGAATAATGTAGAATATTCACTTACTCAAATCGAGTAAGAAATGAATAAGAAAATAGGCTCCAAAGTGACCCTCTTGAAATGTGAAAATAAAGGTTGTGCAATGTGGGATTTGACACAAATCCCACATAAGTTTGCTTTATGGGAATGGGTCGCAAGGGGTATCACAATTTTATGAGTGGAACGAGCACCTACATTCCTTCGGTTCAACCATACACGCGCTCGAGTGCGTCGCCTGACTGCCATGCCCCGACCCGACCCGACCCGACCATGGTCGGGCTCAGGCTCGGGTGTGGGTGTGAGCAAGCCCTATCTTTTTAGAGAAAAATTATTTAATTAATTGGGTGAGAATTTTTAAAACGAAATTTAATTTTCGGTATCCATTGGATCGAACTAGTTTGGATTTTCGCTTCCCTCCAGTTCCAAAATTGAGTTGTGTCTGTTCATACAAAACAGTTACACAAGTGGTGTCTACTGATTTTGGGTTGTGTCTTTTAGTATGGTGGCTATCCGAAAAGTCACCAAAGTGTCTACAAATACCCAGGCTCATTACCATTCTACATTCATTCATTCATTCATCAGTCCATTTTTGGCATTAAGGCAGACATTATTGAATTGCATTTCAGCATTAAGACAGTCTACATTTTGGAGAGTACATAACACAATTTCTAGTTCACTAAATGAGTAGATTGGAGTGCTACTTCTACTCGTGTGAAGATCATTGTATCCAAGGAGGCAGATACTTGATATTCCATAAACATCGTGTGTGGGGGCGAAGTCTGTCTTAAGGACATAGTCCAAACACTAGCCTTGATCTACTTCAAATTCTGTTTTGCAAACAGGTTAGTAGTTATATTGGTTTGACAAACAGTTACGTATAACTGTTTCGGTAAGACTGTTGTAACTGTTTCGTTAATTCTTCTGTAACTGTTTCTGTATTTTGTGTAATTGTTTCGCTCTAGCTTGTTACTATTTTGTTATACATTACATATTTCAAATCAGAAATTTCACTAATTGATTTTACTATATTTGGAATACCACAAACAACACATTTTTCACTTCAGTAACATATTATTATCCCAAAATCAAACATGGTGTGGAGTTTGTACCGGTAGAGATTTTGTAACCATTGTGTCGGAGCAACCGAAAATGTAGAGCAGTGGCTAAAAGATCTTCATCGGGGTGTCCATCTGAAAACCCTTTCAATAATGCATTGATCTCGTCTTCGAAATTGTACCCTATTCCCAGCCGTTGAAATGTAAATATCAACTTCATCGTCTCCATGGGCACTGTAATTCTCCGCAATGCTTGATGAGTTCGTTCCCTCAATTCTATAATTTTTGTGTCGTTATCAACTTCAGTAAGAATCACCTATCATACCACCGTAGCATAAAACATTGTTAGAATATGTGTGTGGGTATGAGAGAGAGAGAGAGAGTGAGAGATTGAATGGTTAACTTTGAAGTATAAAAATACTAATGATAATGCTAGATTAACTTAAAAATGAAACCAAATAATATAACACTACCATAATAAAAAAAAACTCAAATTTTAAATGCATGAAAATGAAACTAAAAGTACCACTATATATGTCGGTGCCACTATACTGGAGATGTTATCCACCATCCCACTGTCGACGACTTACATCACGTTGACCCCACAGGTTACACTTTTGCCAAATGCATGCATGGCAATTCCGAGACCATGCAACAAAGGTCTATGGGCGACTGCAACGGAGTTCAAACTCAGCCGGCAATCTCCGGCGTAGCATTGTCCGCCCCCACTGGTGCATGCACAGAGAGTCACCGGCGCAAAGGCAAGGAGGTTTTAGTTGATAATTCAATGCAAATGGAAATGGCCAATGGGAATGTTCCATGTGGCCAGGTTAGTTTCTTGACTTTAGCTCAATCACTTGATATGCGACCAGCTAATTTATCTCCTATTTTGAATGTTGCCGAACCTAGACATTATGTAGAACCAAGTGCACAAAAAAATATTACATGTAGAGATTTTGTTGCTACACATGGGGATATGCATGATAATGGGGATTGTTTGACTTTTTGCCCTAAAAATGGACATGTTGTACATGATTTATCCAGTACACATGTGCCCCATTTTGCTACCAATCCGCCCACAAGTGATACCACATGCCAGCCCCATCATTCTGAAGATAAGCAAACCAGACCCATCTCTCAATCTACTCATCCCATCATCAAACCCGGCCTACTTCCTACAACTAATACCATTCGCCAGCCTCCTCAAGCTAAACCTGGTGTTCCTAAACCAACTGTACCCACCACCCATAATTCTTGGACTCGACCCCTTGATTTTTCCTTGGACCCAACTCGACCACACAAGTCATTCATAGACGTTTTGAGGGGATCTGCCACCCCCGGCTTTGATGCCCCCACTCATCGAGTTTTTTACCCTGTCACACAATACACGGGTGCCTCGGTAGTTGACTTCTCCGATGAGGAGATTGAGAGTCTCGCAGCTCCTTTTAGGTTGGCCTTGGTGGGCAAGTTTATCTGAGGCCGCCCTTCGATGGAAATGATTAGAAAATTCCTTCAGCTAATTGGATTGAGGGAGCAGGTTAATGCCTCTTTGTTAGATAGCTGACACGTACTCCTGATGTGCGACCTTGAGGAGGACTACACCCGTCTCTGGCTGAAGTAGGCTGGGTCGATTTATAACAAAGAGATGTGTATGTTCAAGTGGACTCCACAATTTTGTTGTACCGAGGAGTCGCCTATAGTTCCTATATGGGTTTCATTCTCATATCTGCCAATTCACTTTGTGCACTCCCAGGATGCATTATTCTCGATAGCCTCAGCGATTGGGACACCTTTATGAGTTGATTAGGCCACAACAAGTTTGAGCCGACCTTCAGTTGTCAGGGTGCTGGTTGAGTATGATGTCACATGGAAGCGGGTGCCGAGGATTAGGATAGGCAGACAAGAGATCGAATTTTGGTAGGATGTTCTCTATGAGGATCTACCACAATATTGTACTGGGTATCGGCATTTAGGTCATTCAGTAGAAACCTGCATCACCCACTCCCAGGCCTAGAAGGAGGTCAGTGGAGACCAGCCATAGCAAGGTCGAGGTGATGGACAGTAGAGGACTAGACCACAAGAGGGAGCACCCATTCAAAGAGCCCTAACCCTTGCTGTTCCTCCTAGGAATAGCGAACAGGTTAGAGTATATGGGAGTGACAGATGTTGTTACCGTTGTTCCTCCCCCAAGGCCAGAGTTGTTATCACTGTGGAATCTGCCTCAATTGCTCTTGTCTAGATTGTTGTTAAGCCGTGTACTGTGGGTGAGCTAGTGATTGTGGTCAGTTCGAATATTATCCTTGCTAGTGCTGTGCAGGAGCAGAGTTGTGCCCCGATCCTTAAGTTAACACAATTTTTGAGCTGGTCCATGATGGACTTGTGACTACCCTAGCCGTTCATCCGACTATTCGTGAGTTTTAAGGGGTTTAGAGTCCCCTGGTTGTGTCATTTTCTAATGATACTAGTTTGAGGCACAGAGATAAGGGTGTTGGGACTTTTAATCGGCCCACGAATTGTACCACCTCGGCTGATATTCCTCTCAACCCTGGATTGTACTCTACTGGGATTGAGAGCCACTCTACTAGAGATATATCATCTGATGAGTCCTTCGGTAGTGATGTTGGATCCTTTTCTAACCCGCATGAGGGCCTTTCCCCAGCCTGGAGGAGCTTTAATGCCTTATGATGCTTCACAGTCTGGTTGGCAGGTCCCGTTGCATAGATCTCAGCGTATCGGTAGGAAAGGTCGAGCAAACACAAGAGGTAGAGGTGGAAAGCCTGGGCGAGGGACGCTTAGTGTGGTTCTTTCACTCCTTTTCGATGATTAGTATGCTCATATGAAACATCAAAAGGATTAGCAAGGCCTCTTCGATTAGAAGGCTTAGAAAGTTGATTTGCTCACACAACTTATCGATGTTCTATATTTTGGAGTCTTTTGTTGACCGGGATTGGTTGGAGTCTTTTCGGATTCATTTGCACATGGAGCACAATTTTTGTTCTATTTCGGGGAAGATTTGGATCTTTTGGTCTTCGACCTTTCGGTTGAATGTTCTTCAAGATGATGGTCAAGTGGTTCACTGTCAGGTGCGACATTCTTCCTTACCGGATCCATTTCTTGTTTTTTTTTTGTGTATTTCAATTGCGTAGCTTCTATTCGGCAAGGTTTGTGGGATGCCTTGACACAATTTGGGAGCATTCATGATGGTTCGTGGATGGTTGGTGGCTATTTCAACGTTATTGAGTCCCATTCTGAGATCCGGGGGGGTCATACTCAGTCTCAATCTCAGTCCGCTATTGATGCCTCTTCCCTAGCTTTGTTGTCTAGTGGTTTGGAGGATGCTGGATTTGAGGGTACTCCATTCACATGGACGAATGGACATACCTAGAGGAGATTGGATAGAGTAGTGGTGAATGCTCAGTGGAGTTCTTATTTTTTTCATGTTTTGGGTTGCCCACCTACACCAGACTTGTTCAGATCATTCACCACTTTTGATTTCTGGAGGTTAGCGTCAGAGCAAAGGGCCGAGCCGGTTCAAGTTTCTTCACACTTGGACTAGACACAGATATTTTTTGGAGGTTATGCAGCAGAACTAGACCCTTCCTGTGTTCGCTTCAGGGATGTCTGTGTTTCAATCGAAGCTTATTTGGTTGAAACAAACCTTGAAGGTCTAGAACAAGGAAATGTTCAACAAAGTGTTTCAGCTATTTCAGGAGGCTGAGGCTGAGGTTAGTAGGAGACAAGTGGCACATGATCAATCAGGGTCTTCTTCAGATCGGGCTGCCGTTCATCAGGCCAGGGCTGAGTTACAACAGGCTTTATAGTGTGAGGAGTCCTTTATAAGACAACAATCTCATGTCTGTAGGCTTCGAGAAGGGGATTCGAACACCCGCTTCTTTTCATGCTTCAGTGAGGAAGAAGCGGCATGTTCTTTCAGTCCATCAGATCTGGGGTGATGACGCAGAGTGGATTATTGAGCCTGGGCTATTAGTGTTTCAACAGTTTCCTTTTTTTAGGGATTGTTCTCTGTGGGGGCTGATCAAGTTAAGGTTGCAGATTTTTCGGCTATTCCAGCCATTATGACTGATGCAAATGATGTTGGGTTGTGTGCTATGCTGACTTTGGAAGAAGTGAGACATGTCGTGTTCTCTATTGATTCTATGCGTCGGGATCGGATTGGTATTGCAGTCATTTTTATCAGTTTTGCTGAGACATTGTGGGAGCAGATTTGCTAGCTGCAGTTTAGGATTACTTCCGGGGTTCTCCTATGCCTCAAGGATTCATGAGCATGTTGGTGGTGTTTTTGCCCAAGAAGGAGTCACCTTTTACTTGGGCAGATTTTGGTCGATCAGTTTATGTAACGTGAGCAAAAAGGTGCTGATGAAGATTCTTGTTTCTTTTCTGTCATCTTTGTTGCCGCGTATCATATCACCGATGAAGAGTGGATTTGTGCCTGGCCGAGTGTTGCAGGACTGTGTTTTTTGGCTCAAGAGTTGGTTCATGATTTGAGGAGAGGTTCCCGAGGGTGAGAATTTCGTGCTGAAGCTTGTTATGGCTAAGACATATGATAGGATGTCTTGGATATTCATTCTCTAGATGTTGCGGGCTTTTAGGTTCTCTGAGGGCTGGATTTCTTTGGTTCAGCAGGCTATCTGGGGGGCGTGGTTTTCTATGATGGTGAATGGGGTCAGTCAGGGCTTTTTCCTGTCACAGGGGGGCTGTGACAGAGTGACCCCCTTTCTCCTTGTTTGTTCATCATTGCTGTAGAGTATCTCTCTCGAGGCTTGAACTCTTTGTATGCACGATTTTCGGGGGGTGGCTTATAACATTGGAGTTGGGGTTTTGGTTTCCCATTTGGCTTTTGCTGATGATATTATTATTTTTGCTAATGGGTATCGATTGAGCTTGCAGCGAGTTATGGATTTTCTTCATCACTAGGAAACTACCTCTGGTCAGTTAGTTAGTCATGCCAGGAGCAGTTTCTATATCAATTCGCTTGCCTCGTATTTTAGAGAGGTGATTGCACGACAAACCACTGGTTTTCAAAGGCGTGACCTTCCATTTATATATCTGGGGTGCCCTATGGAGTTAGGTCATCTCCGGATCTTGTACTTTGATGAGATGATTCGAAAAGTGCGCGAGCAGATTTTTGGATAGGCGAATCTCTTGCTTTTCTTTGGAGGTAAGCTCATTTTGATTCATCATGTGCTCGTGTCGATGCCTATTCACTTGTTTCACGTGTTAAGGTCTCCTGCAGATGTTTTTCACCAGTTAGAGACGATGTTCACTCATTTTTTGTAGGGTGACACACCTACTCATCAGAGGATTCACTGGTGTCATTGGGCTGAGGTATGTTACCCTGTAGAGAAGGGCGGCTTAGGGGTGCGTTCTTTTTTTGACTTAGTCAAGGCTTGTGAGGTGAAGCTTTGGTGGAGTTTTTGAGCTCAACAGTCACTTTGGCCCACTTTTATGAGGGCCAAGTACTATAGGTTCACCTATTCTGAGCTGATTGAGTTTCGTTACCCAGCTTCACTTCTTTGAAGGCGGTTGTATGGGATTCGATCCATGGCTGAGTCAAGAATCAGATGGTTAGTACGGTCCGTTAAGGTCAGTTTCTGGTATGATTGTTGGTTGGGGGATTATCCGTTGGCTTTAGTGTGTCCAGGGGTAGCTTTTGGGGTTCCTGTTTCTGCTTACTAGGCGAGTCGGCAATGGGATAGAGGGCGATTGTTGGGGATTTTGCTTTCTTCAGTTGTTGAGCAAATTGTACAGATTTTGATTCTGGATCAAAGGGTTGATCAGATGAGGTGGATTTTGTCTTTGGATGGAGATTTTTCCTTGAGGTCTACTTGGCCTGATATTCGGGGAGTAGCTCTAGTTTAGGTTAGGTTTTCTTGTGTCTGGCAGAAACATAATCCGTCTCAAGTCTCCTTCTTTTATGTGACGGTTGTTTCATGGTTTCCTGGCCACAGATAATGGCTTAAAGAAACAGGATTTCCGTGTAGTATCCCAATGTGTGGTGGGACTATTGAGACCCCTAGGCATTTTTTTCTAGATTGTCCGCTTACAGTTCAAGTGTGGGATCACTTTTATCGGCTGTTATGGATCAAATGTTGGTTGTTTCAATCTCCTTATGCTTTGATGCTTCGTTGGCGGCGTTGTGCTCCTTCTATAGGTCACGTGCGGGTACTGCTATTGTGCTTTATTCTGTGGCACCTATGGAAGGCACGTAATGCTTATAGGTTTGATGGTCAGGCCTTTGAGGTGTCCGTTGTGGTCCAAAGGATTATGGCCGATATGCAGTTAGTTGGGCTTGCTTTTGGGTTTGGTTTGAGTCAGTTGTGTCGGGATGAGTCGGTTGAGTTTATGGGTTCTCTTAGGGTCTTGGTTCCTCAGCCTCGGCCTCTTCTTTTGGTTGCTTGGACTCATCCTGTAACAGGTTGCCTAAAAATCAGTGTTGACAGTTGTTCTAAAGGCAATCTGAGACTATCTGCAGCAGGGGGTGTAATTCGGGACCAACAGAGTCTGTGTGCTTCTCTCTCGGTTTGCATCTGCCACGTCCTGCAGGAGGCGAATCTGGTTGTAGGCTTCATGGCTAATTGGGCTTGCTCTCAGCAGCTCAATCAACAATTTCCTGATTCGTCATCCATTCCTTCTGGGATTGTTGTTATCCTCGTCTTAGACGCTCGACAGACTCCTCACGTTCGTCGATCAGGTTTTTATTTTCATTTATGTTTTCAATTATTTTATTTTGTGGGGAGTCCCCACTTTGCTTTTCTGTTTATTTATTTTTCATGTATTTAGTGGTGAGTCACTACTTTGATTTTTCTTTGACTTTTTCGTCCCACTTTGTACTTCTGGAAGCTTGGCTCTATGTCCTCCTCCCTTATACCTTTTTATTTTTTAGTTATATATACAGGCAGGAATCCTGCCAAACCCCCCACCAACACTGGGTGGGTTTGAATGAAAAAAAAAAAAAGTAGCCCAGAGGCGAGGGCTGCATTGCAATATATACATTACAATTAAGTTTTTGTATGACGGGTTGGTGCAGATACGTGAGGAGAGCATCATTGTCTCGGATAAACAGTGTTGCCATGAACGTCGTTGTCATGGGTGCCGACTTTGGTGACGACGTGCACATGCAGAAGCGTGAGCTTGCAGAAGGGGCAGGGCTGAGCAGCAACGAACAACTTCTTCTTGGAACCCCAAGTGCACCACCAGACACCACCCAAGACTCTGATGGTGAAGAAATATTACACCTTATAAAAGCCATTTCAATTACAGTTAGATTTTTCTGTATTGAAGAGGGTTTTTTTCTAAGTTATGGTGCAATATTAGCATAGATTGACTATAGTTATGGGCGCTTTCTAAGCAGCCTGATATATAAGCTATGCTCTGCAATTAACAAAGAAAAACATTAAAAAGAAAACTACACAAACAAAAGTAACATGTACAATGACACCCTCCATTTTTATATTATGCTATTTGCGCCCTCCAAATATTCCTCATCAACAACCCCCCCCCCCCTCCCACCCACCCACCCACCCACTGACCGCACCAATTAAGTTGTTCATATGAAATCACTAAGCTCAATTACCCTATTAACGACTAAGTTTATCTCAATTTACATCACCTAGTTAACATATCAAATATATATTATTAACACCCGTCTCTCGAACATAGGCTATGCGTACCCTCATATATCAACCATAAACTATTTCCACTCTATATTTTCTCACCCCATACACTATATTCACCCCTCCTTTTCTATTCCTTTAGTTTTTTTTTCTTTTTTAAATTTATTTTTTTAATAAACTACACATATGACCCTCAAATTATAACCCTTGTTTTAATTAAGCCCTAGACTTTTATTGTGTCAATTGAACTCCTAAACTTTCTAATTATGTCAATTGAGCTCTTATCGACATATAACATATTCAATTTGTTTTTAGGTATATTTGGTGGGAGGTTCACATGGAGTGATTTATTTGGCTTTGAGTCCAATCACAAGATTTTTAAGGCCAAAAGTCTATATAAAATCAATTATTGTCAAAAATAATTTTAATGAAGAAGGTTATTTGAATGAAAAAAAAAATGGTTATTTAAATGACAAAAAAAAAAAGAGATTACTTAAAAATCTACACAATTATTCAATTTTTATATTTATTACCACTACCTTCATCATTTCAACACGCTGCCGCTGAGCTGTTGACCCATATCAAGGCTTTTTAAAAAAATTTCCCAACTTAGGGTTGGTTTAAAAATAATTCTCAAATCCAGAAAGTTTTAAAAACGTCATTTGGTTTGACGTTTTTCAGCCAAAAGACATCAATTGGTCTGACGTTTTTAGTCTAAAAACATTAAACCAAATGACGTTTTTAAGGTTGCTTTGTGGACAGTATGGAGCATAAAGACGTCAGTCCAATTGATGCGATTAAGTAAAAACGTCAATTGCAATTACGTGTTTAACTCAAACCTGATGATCCCTTTTTCCCTCCAGCCTTATTTCTTTTCCTTATTTTCTCTTCTTCCCCTGAAATCCCATTTGAGCCCTAACTCACTCAAGCGAACCACCACCATCACAACAGACACTCTGGCAACCATCGCAGTAGACACACAGAACCACCACATTCGCAGCAGACACTCCGACAACCATCACAGCAGACACGCAGAACCACCACCTTCGCAGAACCTCCACCACCACAGCACCACCCACCACCACACAGCCCCACCCACTACCACCCAACCATCAAAGCCCCAAATCCAAGCTATTTTGTCAGCCTCCATTGCACCGTTAACAGCATCCACCAAATCCGGTGAGAATTCTTAGATTATTTAAAAAAAATATTGAAATTATATGAAATGATAGAAATATTGAAATTCTATGAAAATATTTATGATTGAATTGAGTTGATTATTGATTGAGTTATTGAGTTGGGTATTGAGTAGATTATAGATTATTGATTATTGAGTTGATTATTGAATTGGATATTGAGTAGATTATATATTATTGATTATTGATTATTAAGTTGATTATTGAATTGGGTATTGAGTAGATTATAGATTATTCATTATTCAGTTGATTATTTAATTGGGTATTGAGTAGATTATTGATTATTGATTATTGAGTTGATTATTTAATTGGGTATTTAGTAGATTATAAATTATTGGTTATTGATTATCGATTATTTAGTAGATTATTGATTATTGAGTTGATTATTTAATTGAGAGCTTTTGACCCATGCCAAGGTGTTTTGAAAAAAAGTCCCAAATAATGGTCTGTTTGAAAATAATTCTCAAACACAAGTAATTTTAAAAATGTCAGTTGGTCTGACGTTTTTAGGAAATAATATTTTTTGTACAAGATTGTGGCACATTTACACCTAAATATATGATGTTTTAGCTAAAAGCGACAATTGTACTGACGTTTTTAGCTATTCCCTCATACTGCAAAAAGGTTTGAATAAATTACATTCACACCCCCTGACATTTGATTTTATTACAAGGACACCCCCTCACATTTCAAAAAATATACTGAGATCCCTTGAAATTTGAACACGTTTGACAGTTGCACCCCTTTTGGTATAATAGACGTTTACAATTTCATTCAAAAAACTTTTTTACCCCTCATATATCCTTGAGATTTACCAATTCCCATATACAATCTGTTCAACTCACCTCTCTATTTGACTAAGTCAAAATAAATAAATTGAAAAAAAATTAATGTTTCCTACATTCTAGTTAAGTTAATTTTACCTTTTCAAAAAAAAAAAATCAAATTTATCTTTTCAATAATAAGTTAATTTTTTTTGTTTTGGTCAATCCAATGATCATCATCTGCCACTCCAAGTCCACCGATTCTCACCACCACCACCACTATTATTATTATTATTATTATTATTTTGGGGGTGAGGACATGAGATTGGAACCCAAAATTACCTATAGGCAAGAGTGAGGCCAAGGTCTCACCTCTGTGTATCCTCTTTCTTAGGCCCCTCTCTCTAAAATATGTTTCACGGGTTACCAATATAATTATAGTTGTCAAGGCAAAATGAAAGAATTTTTCCTACTAAACAATGAAATGCATACCAATAGATCCTTGTCCTAGATTTTGGGTTGCTATATAAACAACTTCTAACTTTTTATGTCTTTTTTAAGTTCTATTACAAACTCATTCATTCCTTTGTAATTCCTTTGTTAAAAATTCATTCATACTTTTTTCAACTTATGTTATAAACTCATTCATTCATTTGTTTGAGAATTGGATCATTCTTTTCTATTAATTTCAGTTTGCTTCAATCTCACTTCTGGTACGTAGTTATTCATTCCGTCCTCATTATGTTCTATCTAATTCAACATCTATACGATACTGATATTTGACTTTATCGTATTAAGCATATTCTATGTCTCTATCAATCTCAATCGAAGCAGTGTAGTTATGTTGCTTAAATATCAAGCAACACATTTTTCTGCAAAATAAGTATGTTGATTAATGCAATAATGTCACTGAAATATTGTAAGACAATTACTACCTTGTTAGCCAAAAATATTGGCTACATTGTTTGCCTGCTTGATAACATATTTAACTTGTGATTAAATACATGGTAACATGTTTCAGAGATACCCTCTGTTGGAACTCTGTTGAAATATGGATATGTTTTTCCTCAAGTATTAACCGTTTCTATCCATCTCTAGGTTCTTTAGAATTCAGAACTTAGTCCACAAGGAAAACTAACTGAAATGGCTGAAAAATAAGTTACCATTTTGCTATATTGGGGTGGACGAATGAGTTATGGGTTCGAGGGTTTATCATACAGTTGTCTTCTCAAAGGTGGTATTGTTATCAATAGTGGTACACAACTGCCAAAATTGTTGAGTAAAATTTACACTATAATGGGGTTGGACAGGGTGCATAACAAGTTGAAGTTGACTTTTAGATATCCTCTTACACTTGGAACAGGACCAAGACCAAACATGAATACATATGTCGGTCTGAAAATTGTCAACGATGAACTAATTATTTCTATGGTTAATGTGGTTCTTGACAACCCCACTATTGCTAGTGTTATTTTGTACGTCGAGACAGAGGACATCAATACTAGCATAGGCAGTAGTCAGACCGGGGGGTGCATAACAAAAACTGTCATGTCTTACACTGAGTTACTTATACGAGAGATGGGTCCATTGACATTTCCAACTTCTGGTGTGACGGGTGATGTTAAACTCCCATGGGGATACAGGTAATGGATGAGTCTGAGCAGTACTTTTACACTCAACAAAGAACTTGAACTGCGACATACGGTGAGAACTCAGTCAACAATTCATTGAGTCAGAATTTTGAGGCGGGAATTGCGTTGGGTGAACAAGATGATGTCCATCAACCAATAATTCAACAAATGCCTTTCCGAGAATATAAAGAAATGTGTGTCAATGATCATACATATGTCTCTGATGATGATGATGAAGAAGAAGAGTTTGAGGAAGTAATGATTGATGAGACGGATGACGAAGATGAGAATGACGAAGACTTTAAGGCTGCTCAGGTGGTGGAGATGCATAAACCTTACTCTACCTCATTCACAACCACTGAATTTGGTCAGTATACTAAAGCAGATAGCTATGTTTCGTTAGTTGAATAGAACTTGTGGGATCCGATGAAGATGGAGTTGGCGAAGGGCATGGTTTTTAAGGATAAAGCTTTATTAATTAGGGCTGTTAAATGGTATTCAATCAAGCTAAATTAGGATTTTTTCGTGATCTAGATGAACACAACTATGTGGACTATACACTACATCATGTACATGCAGCCTAACTGCACATGGAGACTGTGTGCTTGTTTTAAAAAAAAATTAAAAATATTTCAGATCATGAAATTTGATGGACCACATACCTAATTCTACCCTAGGATAAGTCGTGACCATCGGCAATCAGACTCTGACTTTATTTGTCATAATATACTGGGACTCGTGGGTGATACACCACAAACCAAAATATCAACAATTCATAAGATAATAAAGGATAAGTTAAAGTTTGATATTTCCTATAAGAAAGCATGGATTGTCAGGAACAAAGCAATTGCTATGATTTTTGGTGATTGGGACTCGTCATATGACATGTTGCCAAAGTTTTTGGGTCCCATCAAGAAGTATAATCCTGGCTCGATTGTGAAGTGGTGGTACAACTCTGAAACTTATGAATATAATATTTTTTTTACGAGTATTTTGAGCATTCAAGGCCAACAT